CCCCCCCCACCACGGCCATTGCGAAGGCCCCTTTCTCTCGTCAGCGCAGCCCACAGAGGAGAACAGGGGGGACCCTGGCCAGGGCCCCGGAACCGCCCCTGTGCCTGGATACTGTCATGAGGGGCCTGCCCGCAGGAGGCTGGCCAAGTGCACAATCAGGGCCCAAAGCTTTGGACAAGGAGGGCCACGTGACCACAAGAGCCACACAAACACAGAGGCACAGAGACACGCAGAAAAAGAGACGTGCACACAGATGTACACACGTTCACGCCGACGTGCACACACAGGCAACAGGCTTCCAGGAGGAAGGGACCCTCGCTGCCACCACCCTTCTCAGGCCTGCAGGATCACCAGCGACAGGATGCTGGGGGGAGGCCAGGAGAGGTGGCCGTCACCCGCTGAAACCACCGAGGCCCTAGCAGGCCTCCTACAGAGAAGAGGCCTGAAGTCCAGGCCGTAGCCAGACAGCTGCAGAGACAGGTGACCCACTGCCTCAGGGCTCCCAATTGAGGCTATGGTCATGGAGATGTCCAGCAGAGCCACCGCCACCCACGGGGTGGTCCAAATAGCTCCCACATGTACCTCAAGAGAGCTAGGGACAGTACAGGCCAGAGTGACAGTGGGAGGGAACCCAAAGAAGCCAGAGGGCCCAACGCCCTACCATCTTGCCCCTGCCCCATCTCATCAGGAACCATGGGGGTGGGGGGTGGCGGGAGGCCTCTAGTCTGTGCCCTGAGGTATGGCTGAACTTGAACTTGCAGCTGCTGCCACACAGAGCTGGAAGGGAGATGGGTGCCCTCCCCCCGCTGACCCCCAACCTGGAACCGGGCTGGGGGAGCGTGTGGCAGAGGCTGGGTGGGCCTCCTGGACGCCAGAGCTCAGAGGGGAGAGGCGAAGGGGAGCAGCACTCTAGGTGCGGAGGTGGGGGGCCTGGCAGGACGGAGATCCAGTGACACAGCAAGGATAAGGAAGGGTCCCTCCCACCCACCCGTCCACCCCTCGCCCTGGGCTGGTGCCCCACACAGCCCAGCCCCCTAAACCTCAGCCGGGCTCCTGCCAGGGTGACATGGAGCCTCAGGCAGCCTTTCCGGGGGCTACCCCACTCCCTGGAGCATGGTCCTGAGGGAGGCCCTGGGCAGGGCCTCGGGTGTGGGTGCACGTCGGGCACACGTAGCTCTGCACCCCAGCTGGCCCCCTGCCAGGGGCCTCTTCCTCAGCTCTGCACCAGGGCAGATGTGGGGTGGCTGGCCCCAGGGAGGGTGGGCCAGGCAGGCGGGGGCTGCAGGCAGGGGAGGTGACACATGCACTGAATGGGGAGCAGAGATGGCTCTGGGACCAAGGCCCTGTGCACAGCACATCCGAGAAGACGGTCGGGTTGACAGCAGGTGACAAGGATGAACACGCACATCCTTAAAAGAGAGGGGCCTCGCTCAGATGCACGGGTGGTGTGCCTCGCCTGAGCTCCCCAGCATAGACACCTTGCCCAGGACGGCCTGCTTCTAGAACTGTCCTGCTGCCACTGAGCCCAGCAGACTCCCTGCCTGTCCTCGGTGTGCACACCCCGCCACCCTGCGGGGCTTCCGTGTCCCAGAAGCCCGAGGCCCCCACCCTCAGTCTGCATCCAATGGGCAACTGTGCCCAAGCAGGAAGCAGGTGCGGGTGCCACGTGTCCCTCCAGGCTGAATGGACACAGTGGGACATTCTCTCCACTTGGCTTGCTCCCCAGGGCCTGGGACTACCAGGAACTGGTGTCAGCAGAATCACGGGGCCCGGGCAGCCTGGGGACGGAGTGGCAGAGAGGGAGGCTCCCGAGACTAGCTGGTCACTCTGCTCACTGCACAGAGCCAACAGGGCTGCTGGGCACTCCTTACCCGTGCCAGAGCCCCAAAGTCCCGGGGAGACCCCTCAGTCTAAGAGGGAGATGGGCCTCTTGGGCAGCCAGCCGGCCCTGCCCAGTGTGGCCGAGTCAGCAGGTTCTGGGGCTGGGGCTTGGTCAGACAGCCATGTCCCAGCGCTGACGGGAGCCGGCACCACTAACAGCGCCCATCCACCATCTTCGGGGCCGTGCCTCACAAAAGGGGAAACTGAGGCGCAGAAGGCGATGGGACCTCCCAGAGAAGCTGGTCCCCTGACCCTGGGCCCTGGGAAAGTTGTCGGGAGCCATTCTGCCTGCGGCCTGCCCCGCCCAGGCTCTGTCCTGGAGCCCAGGTCACCGCCACACTCTCTCCCTCCCATGCCGGCACGTCTGGTCCCGAGCAGGCCTGGCCCGCTGCAGACGCTGAAGCACCCGCGAGGAGCAGCGGCCCTTTGCACTGAAGTCAGGCACAGGTCTCGGGGTCTCCTCGGGCTGGGGCTCCTGTCTGATCCTAGTGCCCCTTCCCCCTGGCGGAGCGTCACCCCTGGGCCCACCTGACTGCCAGGGCTGGGGCCGTGGCCTGGGACCGGACAGCCAGTCTGCATCCACCCATCCGGGGCCTGGAAATTGTCCTGCTGGGGAGCCATGCGGAACCTCGAGCTGGACGGCCCTCGGGCCACCCGCCCATGGTCCTCAGCCAGGGAGGACAAAGGGAGCGGGTCCTGGCTGACAGCCGGGTCAGGAGCAGGGGGACTCACCTGGCACCGCTGGGAAGCCCAGGGCTGGCTATGGGGCTGTGGCGGCACCTGCTTGCCTCTGGGACCCAGCGCGGACAGGGACAAGGGCCCGCTGTGTGGCCGGAGGCGGAGCTGGCCCTGTCCCAGGGCTGCGTCAGGACCCCGGACCCTCCTGCCCATGACGCAGCCTGGTGCAGCAGAGCAGTTGGGGTGCCGAAGGGAGCCGGGGCGGGGGAGTGTGAGCCCCCGGCCACACAGGTCCTTTCTGCCGGCAGACCAGCTCCACCCTGGGGTGCTCGGGACCTTCTGTAGAGATGCCTCCCCTGAGAGCACAAGTGAGTGCCCAGCCCCTCTGAGACCCACACCGTGCACGACTTGGGTGCCCACCTGCCCCTCCCTCCGCCCCCAGGACGCAGCACCCCTGGCCTCTGGGCTTCACTGGGCTCCAGCTCACGTCTGTGCTGGGAGCCGGGGCCAGGCCTCCTGCTGTCTCCAAGGTTGTTTCATGGGTGACCACTGCCCAGGTGACCGCGGCCTGATCTGGGGCCTCAGCTCGTGAAAGAAGCTCTTGGAGGGGCCGGCCTTTCTTGGGGTCTCCCTGGGCCCTGCCTGCCCCCCTTTTCTTGCCCTTCCCTCTGATGTGATAGGACTTCAAACAGAGAAGCAGGAAAATCCGCACGTGGATCACAGCCTGCTGTGTCCTCTCGGTCCTCTGGGCCCGAGGGGGTCATGGAGGACACCAGGGAGGGGCTGGGAGGAGGCCACGAGGTGGGAGAGCAGAGGATGGCCTGTCCCACACCTGCTGGACAGCCAGCCGCTGACCACCCGAGCACAAGCGAGGCACCGGGAGCCCTGCTGCCCACTCCACGGAGGTGGTTCAGACGGGCACACGTGAGCTCCGCCGGCCTCCACGGGACTTGGGGCGGCCTGCGCCCAGATGAAGCCCAGGGGTCTGTCCTGAGGGGAGAGGGGACGGCAGTGCAGAGAAGCAGCCAGCCCCCACCTCAGGGGCTGCACCCAAAGCAGGGTGGGGAGGGCCCGCGTCCCTTCCATGGTTCCCCAAGTCCAGGCCAGCATAGGCAGATGGGCCCCACAGGAACCGGGCCTCCCAGCCCCAGATGACCTACGCAAAGCCCCCACCCCAGGTCTAGGCTGGACCATGCACCCAGGGTGTCCGCCAGGGCCCCCGCCAGGGCCCACCCAGAAGGAGGCTGCCCGCGCTCGGGCCTCGTTCCCGCTGCCCAGGGTTTTACATGTTTTCGTTGGATGCCAGCTTTTCAAACATGGAGATTTCACATAAAAACTTGCATTTCCAGCTTCTCTGAAAAATCAGGTCTGCCTCCTGGGCTTCCCCTGCCCCTCGAGACAAGCACACGCCCTCTGGGTCACCCGCTGCCCCTCGCCCTGCCACCAGCATCGCAGGCCTGGGGTGCCCCGCCCCTCCGTGCTCTGAGTGGAGTACTGAGCTCCCAGCTTCTACTGGCTGCACAGGACACCAGCACATTCAGCCTTTGGGGGGACGGCCTGGCCAGGTTGTGTTCCAGTTCTTATTACAGCCTCCACGGCCCTTACATTTAGTAAGTGCCCCGATGTTCCCCTGGAGCACGGCGCCAGTTTACATCCCTGCCGACCTCAAAGGCACGAGCAAACGCCGTGGAATTCCCGCGACCTGGCCTCGTTCCGTGCCCCTGTGTGGAGTGTGTCCTCGCAGCTCCAGGGGCCGCGGCCGAGGCCTGATTCCTGGCCCCGAACACGCAGCAGCCTTCTTGCCGGGTGTCACACGCTCGCCCACGGGAAGGGGGGGATCTTGCTCCCTCAGGGGTGGGCGGAGCCTGCCTGGCCCGGGGCGCAGGGTTTGACCTGCGTCTTGCTTCAAAGCAGGGTCAGTTTGTCCTGCATCACTCTGCCTCCCCGTCCGGACACCTGTCCCCCACCAGGCCGCCCCTTCTCCAGTTTCCTGCGGGAGCCCCCTCTTTGCTCTGCCCTCCGGGCTGGGGATGAGTGTCCCCCGGAGGGTCTCCTAGTGGGTATGTCTTCTATTTTACAGTCTCTATTCAATTTTTTAGAAGTCATTTTTTTTTACTTTCCAAATATTCTCTTTTATTATCGAATTCACTGCAATATGTCCTCTGATCTCTTACAGTCCCCTCCATTAAACCACCCGTTTCGATTGTTTGGCGGTTGCCCCTTCCCTGATATGCTGGCCCCCCTGAAAAGTGTGGACGGGCTACACAGAACAGTAGCCCCCTCAGCAGGTGGGGGCCCAGCTGCTGGGGTCTGCAGAGCCGAGAGTCCTGACCTCCCAGAACTGGGCAGGCAGGCCAGCTGGGCACCCGTGAGCGCACGACGCTGAGTGTGGGAAGCCCACTGTGACCACCAGGCCCCAGCAACCAGGGAACATGTCCTGCCAGGCAGGGTGTCTTCAGTCCTCCCCACGAACAACAGGGGTGCCTGCAGGCTACCCTTTTCTGGGACTGCATCCAAGGCAGTCTCCATGGCAACCATGAGCCTTGCCCCCCCCCCCCAGCAGGCATCTCCCTCCATTGAACACGGGGAGGGGTTGCAGCACGGACCCTCGGCCATTTGTCTTGTGAGCAATTTGAACATTTCTCAACCTAAAACCATTCTTTGGTAGGAAATAAGCCTCCTACAGCCAAAGATGGGGAGCTGGACGGTCCCGACCCGTGACCCCTCACCCCTGCTCCCCAGCCCGTCTTTGAGCTCTGCCTGTGGTGCTGCACCAGTGTCCCCATCCCCACGGCCAGCAGACGCAGGGGAGCTGCTCCAAGCTCCCTCAGGGCCCCGCCGCCCTGGGCTCTGTCTCTCAGACGGGCAGTGTGTCCACTCGCGTCCCTTCTGTGGACAGTGTGTGGACACGTCGTTAACTATCCCTCGCTTTCCACCTTGTAAGACTTGCCTATTTGATGACTAGGTCCACACCCTCACACGTCAAGTGTGTCTACTGTCCCAGGTTTGGGGACCTCAGCAGGAGGGCAGATCACAGGGAGCTCTCTTCCTAGGTACTGTCACCCAGAAGACCAGGGGTCCTGCCGGCCTGGGTGTCCAGGTGCCCGGGAGTCCTGCTCCGGACCCCAGGACGGCAGAGGGAAGCTGGCGTCCACAGGCAGGGCTATGCCTGCAGGAAGGGGATGGCCTTGGGGGGCTCTTCGGGGAACTGCAGGGTGCACAAGCGCGCCGCGTACTGCAGCTCTGGCATGACCATCCTCTGACACATCCGCAGAGTCTGGTCGTCAAGTCCTGCCCGAAGGTTGTAGCCCAGGATGTCGGCGTCGCCCGGCGGTCTGCGACCTGCGTCCTGCTCTGGGGCGCG